AGGCAAACAGGGTTCAGTGATTTCTTTAGGGTCACACAGCTAATTAAGTGTATGAATCCAGATTTGAATTCAGGAATATGAGTCTTCCTGATTCCAGACCAAGCATTCTATCCACTGTGCCACCTAGCTGTCCCTGTTTTAGATATAATTTAGCTAAATTTTGGTAAAATATTTCATGAAATATTTCATACTATTATTGTGAAAAACTTTGGGAAAAGTGATAGAATGAGATGGATTCAAAATTTATCGAATGGCCAGATTCAATGAATATTCATTTATGCTTTGATGTCTACTTGGAAGTAGGTCTGCAGTGGGCTGCCTCCAGGATCTTTATATGACCATGTGTTGTTGACATTTTTTACCAATAACCTGGTATTTGTTAAGCTTGGAATTTAAAAAAAATTAAAAAGGCTTGATGATATCCACATCAAATATACAGACCATACACATTTGGGAAGGATAGCTAACGTACTAGATGACAGAGTCAGGATTCAAAAACTTTGTGACATAATAGAGCATGCATTCAATATGAGAAAACTGGATAGGAACAAATCCAAGAAATTACATTTGGACTAGCAAAAAGTATTCCACAAGTACAAGGTAGGGAAGGCATGCTTAGTTAGCAGCTTATCCAAAAAGGATCAGGATTTTTTGTTTTTGTTTGATTTTTGGACTCTAAGCTCACCATGAATCAATGTTAAAACAGGGTAGCTAAAAAAGCTAATGAGATATGGCATACATTAAGAGAGGTACTGTTTCTAGGAGGAAGTAAATTATGAATCCATTGTACTCTACCCTGGCCAGATCATGCTTGAAGTACTGTATTCTGTTCTGCTCACCACGGTTTAGAAAGGTTATTAATAAGCTCATTAGGATTCAGAAAAGGGAAATCAAAACGATGAGTTGATGCCTTGAGCTCATGCCATATGAGGAGATGTTTAGCTAAAGGAAAAGAAAACTAGGAGTTATGGAAGTAGGGACGGGATATCTGTGTTCAAGTACTTTTAGGGCTTCCATAATGAAGAGGGATTAGATATGTTCTATTTGGCCTCGGAAAACAGAACTAGGAACAATGGATAGGACTTAGGAGAAGAAAATTTAGCATTGATTAAAGGAATTAGAGCTATCTTAAAGTGGAATGGTGCTGCCTCAGGAAGCAGTAGGTTCTCCATCACTAGAGCTCTTTAAAGGAAGGCTAAATGATGACTTATCAAGTATCTCCTGAGTACCTCCTTTTTTTCAGGAATGGATTGGACTTGGTGGCCTCTGAGTTGCTTTCTACTTCGGATATTTTGAGATTCTGTGATTGATCTCTACCAATTCTGCCCTCACCAGTGATGACTCTCTCTTGTCATAAGTCCATAGATCCTGAAGACATCAGAAGTGGGACAGGGATCTTTGCAGGGGAAGAAGCCAGACAGGGAACATAGACAGACACAAGTAGGTTAATTAGAACCCCCAGAGCAAAGGTTCTAAACTTTTTTGTGTCATGTCTACCTTTGGCAGTTGGGTAAAGCCTTTCTCAGAATAATATTTTTAAATGGATAAAATAAAATACATAGGATTGCATGGGAAACCATTTATATTGAAGCAAAGATTTCCTTCCCATTCAGGTTGACAGAATCCCTCTAATCTATCCATGGACCCCCAGGTCGAGAGCCACATCAAATCCAAAGTTATTGAATTTGCTCCACCAAGCAGCTCATAGTAGTTCTGGCATCACTAACTACCAGGAAGAGAAATAGTGAGACATTGTTGGGTCATCCCTTTTGTATGTGAACTTAATTCTGGCTCATTACCTCTTGATGGATCAGCTCTTCTAGATATGTAGCCAATTAGAAGTTTCATCATCACCTGGTATGGTTAGGAACAAGTTTTTAAAATTCCACATGCTGGGCTAGAACCCAGCAGGGAATATCTGTGCATGCTTAATAAAACCCATCAAGAAGGGCCAATATGAGTATGTTCTTAAGTCTGGCCTCTCATTAACCAGTCTTGCCTTCCCCCCTTGCAATAGTCCACATGCGACCCTCTATTCTCTCCTCAACCCCTAGCAGTCTGACTTCCTTTCCCACCACTACATTAAGATTGCTTTCCAGTGAATTGCAAAACCTACTGGCCTTTTTGTATCCATCATCCTCTTTGACCCCACAGTTTTGGACACTCTAGACCAGTGGTTCTCAAACTTTTTATTCTCAGGACTCCTCAAAATATTAATTATTGGGGATCCCAAAGAGATTTTGTTTATGGGGATTCTATCTATTGACATTTACCATATTAGAAATAAAAAAAAACATTTTAGTATTATAATAAAAATAGTTTTGATGTTGTAGACCTCCTGAAAGAGTGTTGAGGACCTCTGGGGGTCTCTGGACCATACTTCCAGAACAACTGCTCTAGTGTGTGTGCAATATTCTTTCCTCCCTTAGTTTTAGCTGGTCTCCATTTCCCTGCCTGGTTCCATCCATAGCTCAATCTTGTTATTTCTCCCTTCACAACATTTCTGCTCTACATTCCCTTTTCTCTCCTCACTTAGCCATCATTCTAGTGCAGATTGTCATCATTTCTTAGCTAGATTAGCACATAGCTTTCTAATGGTTCTTTCTATCTCAGCTCCCTTTCCACTCCAATCCAGCCTCCATTCAACCACCAAAGTGGTTTTTCTAAAGGTCAAGTCTGACAACATTACCCACTCCCAACTCAATAAACACCTTCAGGATCAAGCATAAGGCCCTCTGTCGAGCATTTAAAGCATGTCACAACCTTGCCACTTTCCACTTTTCCAGTCTTCTTATGTTTTAATCTGATCCGAATCCTGTACTTCTTTGTCCTATCTCCCTGTATTTGCATTAGCTGTGCCCCATGCCTGGCATCCTCGACCTCCTTAACTCTCTGCTTCTTCATTTCCCTAGCTTCCATTTCAAAACTCAGCTCAAATCTCACTTTCTATAGGATGACTTTCCCAGTCCCCTCAGCTACTAATGCCCTCTCCTCTGAAATCATCTTCCTTCTATTCTCTCTATATTTTGTATGGATCTAGTAGCACCTACCTCCTAAGGTTGTTGTGATGATAAAATGAGATAATACTTGGAAAATGCTTTACAAAACTTAAAGTGCCATGTAAATGCTGGCTATTCTCTTCTGCTTCCTCCTCCCACTCCCCCTCTCTCTAATGTCCTCCTCATCGTCTTGCTTATTCTCCTTCTTTGGACATCTCTGTAAGTAAATTCTTCCTTACATCAAAGCCTAAATATGCCTCTCTGCAGTTACCTCCCCACCCCCAATCCCGGCCCATTCTTCCTAGTTCTGCTGACCAGGGTCAAGTAGACCAAGTTTAATTTCACCTCTTCCATATGTGACATGGTAGCATGTCTTGGTGGGAGGTGGGGGTAGTGGGAGGCAGTCTGCTCATTGAGAACAATCAATAGGTCAGTCAATAGGCATTTATTAGGTGCTTACTATGTGCTGGGCGCTATGCTGAGTGCTAGGGATACAAAGAATAGCAAAAAAAAAAATACGATCCATGCCCTTAAGGAGCTTATATTCTAATGGAGGAGGTAGCATGCAAATAACTTTGTACATACGGGATAAATACAATGTAAACAGAAAGGAATGCAAGGCACTGGGTGTAGGAGGGGAGGTTTCTGGGGCCTAATTTTTCTACCTCATACTGGCTTGGAGCTCAAGCTAGGATGGGAAGGAGGCCAGGGAAGGAAGGAGACAACCCAGGGCTCCTGGTGGATTTGGTTGCTGACCTCAAAGAAATTATTTTTAAAGCCAATAATTGAAAGTGGATATTTTTAACCTTTATTACATCAAGGCATCCCAAGGGAGAAAGTGGGAGGGTAGGGAGAAGAGTCGGGAGAAGGTGGGGGACAGCTCAAGGGCTATTTTCCAACTCAGGGGCTTCAGTGAAGAGGATTGGGTACAGAGGACTTATGGACAGGAAAGAGCTGCTTCTGTCCTCCAACCCCCATCCTCACTTGCCTTTTCAATTTTTTAAAAGCTCCTAACAGAAAGAGTGGAGTTCATTATATCGAGTTATCTCTGCTGTCTCAGGCTAAGATCAATCTCTCAAGGCTTGCAGGGCCAGGGTGGGAAGGGAGGAGAAAGTGGAGGAAAGGGGAGGGGAAAGAACCTCCAGCACTCATTTCCATTTTCCAACCAGATCATTCTGCCACCTGGCAGGGGAGCTAGCAGTTGGCAGGTTCTCCTCTTGCACCTCCCCAGTATAGCTCCCTCCCTCCCATACGCTCCCCGTCCTTGGCACTGTGGCTGGAACCAGAAAGGTCTGGCAGATGTGTGAGATCTCAGGGGAACCCCGGGAGGCTGCTGTGTGGTATTCAAGGCTCCATCCAATCACTCCAGCCTTCCCTTTCCCTCCACTCCTTATTCCCTAATAACATGTCAGGCTTATTTCCTATCTCTATGTCTTTCCCCAGCCCATGCTCTTCTCCTTGAACCCCGCCCCCCCAACTTTCTATTTGCCTTTCCTTTTGTGGTCTGTCTTCAAGGCTCAGATCCAAGCCCACTTTCCCAGGAAGCCTAACCTAACCTACAGCTCACAGTGACCTCTTTCCCATTCTTAACCTCTCATCTTTGATCTCCATTATGGTTCTTGAGGTCATCCAAGTCAAGGCATTAGCATGAACAAGCTTGTATTGTTCTCTCATCATTTCAGAGATCTGAAACTTGCCTCTCCGAAGACTGTGATGTCCCCAAAAGTTAGAGGCCAGGTCTCTGCATCACTCAATCCTGGCACAGGGTGGGGGAGAGCACAGTAAAGACTGGCTGAGTAGAATGGAATTGAATTTGGAAAAGGTTTTCCCACTGTGTGTCCCTTGGTGCTAAAAGGATGAAAAAAGGAGCGATGCCCAGGATAGTGGGGGAAGAGTCCATCCTGGGTTCTAGGGTCCTGTTGTGGGTCCTTGCTAGGTCCAAGCAGGTCCAAAGTCTGTTTGCCCTTCACCTCTAATGCCTTTTTGCCTCCCACTTCACAGGTCTGTCCATTTGCTGAGAACTGATAAAACTTCTGCCTCAGGTAAGTGGTCTCTGAAATTTTTAAAAAAAAGATTTATTACAAACTTAATATTAAGCATCAATACAAGTAATTAAACTTGCCTTTTTAAAGCTATTTAGATTAAAATATGTGAATTTTAGCAAGTAAAATGTCATAACAATTTTTCATTTGTTCTAAGTCTCCCTCAAGATTGTTGGTCCATTCCCATTCACTCTTTCTCTTATGAAAGCATCAATAGTAGCTGTATGCATGACCTTGGCCAGATCATTTCTCTTCTCTGGTCCTTAGTTCTCTCCCCAATAAGTCTCTTCTTCTCCAGGCTAAGCATCCCCTCTTCCTTCACCTGAGTCTCATGTAAAATGAGATGACTTTAGAAGGTCCCTTTCAGCTTTAAATCTAAATCCAATGGGCCCGAGTATTTGTTTCTCAGGTTTTCCTTTTTTTCTTTCACTCTGCATTATTTCATAAAAGGCCTGTTCGGATTTCTCTGCATTCCTCATATTTGTCGGTCTTAATTGCATTATAGAATTCCATTACATTAATGTGCAGCAATTTATTTACCATTTCCCTGCTGCTGGCCATTAGGTTGCTTCTAGTTTTTTTGCAATTATAAATAATGCTGCTGTGAAAATCCATGAATGAATAGCTCTTTTTTATTGTAAGAACACTTTGAAGGGATATTCCCAACAATGGAATGGGTCAAGGGGGTATGATTATTTTTGTAACATTTACTGCCGACTGCCAGATTGCCACCTCTGAAAAAAAAAATCTGCAAGTTTGCAATGACTGAGTAGAGCTGTTTTCCTATAATCCCGAGTGGCCTCTGTGCATCCAGTCATCTTTGTTTGGGTATTAACCAGGTGTCTCCAGGGCAGGGTTCAGAGTAATGGGGACTTAGGGAGGGGACAGGGGAAGGATATAGATATAGATATAAATATACAGATAGATATAGATAGATATAGATACAGATACACCTATACATAGATACATATGTATGTATGTATGTAGGACAGCCCCTCCCTTCTCAGCTCCTCTCTTTATCTCTTTCTTTTTCCTATACTCTTCTTTCTTACTTTCCTTTTCTTCCCTTTTCTCTCTTACTTTGCCCTTCTCATTCTCTCTCAAATTCTTCAGTCTTTTCTAAGCTCTTTTCTTCTTCCTTTACTCTTTCTCCCAATCATACCTGTCCTCTATTCTACTCCCACCCTATTTTGCTATCCTCTTTTTCCCTTTCTCCTTTCACATACCTCTTTTCCTAACTTCTGTGGTTTGGTCATTGGGTACAGGAAGAAGGGGCCCAGGCTCATTTAGGGCAGATATCTTTTGGTCATTTCTCATATTTTGGAAATCCCTTGGTGTGGGTTGTTCTGTGCATGGATGGTGGTCTGGTTTGGAATATGGCATGGTACTTTACTCAGCCCTGGTTGCTATGTTGGGTATGTGTATCAAATGGCACATGGGGTGAGGTAGAGGGGATGGCTTCATGTCAATGGCAGGTGTGCCCTGAAAAGACAACTCCTCATGGGGAGAATTTGGAGAGAGAACGTGTGGTCCTTTCATTACACTGTGAGCAGGGACAGCAGTGGTCTGAACCCTGGGACCCTTAACTTCTGTGGGACCCCTTCCTACCTAAGGTCGATGGTCATATGATCCTCTGGTTCAATGGTCTGGCTGGCCTTGGCTCTTAGGAACTAGCCAGGGACCCAACCTTTTACCTCATTTTATGAGAATAATTGAGAGTTGTCTAAAGATTATATTTGATAGGTTGGGGGGGGGTCTTGATTTTCTTTGACCAAGAAGGACATTCCTGCTTTCCTGCAATTCAATCTATAAAATCTCCTCTTGTACAACTCAGCTCTCTCTCTATCTGTCTCTCTCCCTCTCTTTCTTCCTCCCTCCCTCCATCCATCTATCTATCCATCCACCCATTCATCATCTATCAATTTATCTATCTATCCATCTCCCCATCCATTCATCCATCTACCTATTATGTTTATATAAAGGAGAAAGAGTAAGAGATGGTGGTGAATGAAGATGGGACATCATGAGGGAAGGGGGAAGTAGCATAGTGTAGCAGTTAGAAAAAGCTTGGCAAAGAAAACCTGTCAGTCCTGCCTCTGACCACTTCAGGCTGTATGACCCTGAGCATGTCATGTAGCCTCTCAATGCCTGAACTTAATTACTCCTTGAGATCTGGTTGGTGGGATGGAGGGGAGGTTGTGTTCTGACACCAGGGGTTCCCCACCCCCCAACAAAATTGCAGATCCTCTCTATTGGGTAACTCTTCTCTTCTTCATTATTGCAGATGACCCTTCTATCTATCACGAATAGGGCCGTATATCCAGGTGCGGTGATAGCTGCACTGAGCCAGACGTAGCTTCTCATCCAATAGCCCCAAAGAGTATGTCCATGAGGTCCCTGGCTCAAACCTTAGGAGTCATGCATAGCCAGGAATAGGTGGTTGATCCATGGTGCTTATAGTTCTACTAGGCAACAAGTTCTATGAGGACAGGGCTTGGGTTTGATCTAATTTTAAAAATTTCCTCCAGAGTCTAGGCAAGTGCTGCACATAGAGCTATAGAATCATAGACCCCTTACTCTGATTCTCCCCCCCTTTAATCAGTTGCCATATCTTTCTGATTCTTCTTTAGCCTCTTGGAGTTCTATCTCTTTCTCCCCACTCATAGTCACCACCCTCATTCAGTCATTCCTCACCTCTCATTTAAACTCCTGCAATAACTTTGTGATTGACCTCCTTGGCTACAAACTCCCCCCTCAATGACAGTTATGTTGTCCCTCTCCCCTAGTAAACACCCCCCTCTCCCAAGTAAATATCCTCCATTGTTTCAATCAGTCCTCATGAAACATAGACTCAAGCCCCTTCACCATGCTGATTTCCTTCCTCTGGCTATTCTCCAACCTTAGTCTCTTTCCTAAACTATGGTGTCCAAAGCCATAGTAGGTGTTTAATAAACATTCATGAACTTGAAATGAAAATGAATTTGGCAGTAGTCGGTCTCGGGTTGTGCCTGGGGTTGGGCAGTCAATTTGTGGACATGTATAGAGCATAGATGCATGCAGATGTCTAGGGTTAGGACTCAGTCCGTGGTCAGGATCTAGAATAAGAATTGACATTCATATGACATGCTGTTTGTTATCTCATCTCAGCCTCCCAACACCCCTGTGAGGCAGCTACAACAGTCCTTATTTCTCCCATTTTACAGATGAGGAACCTGAAACTCAGAGTACATGACTTGTCCATGGTCACATAGCTAGTGAGCGTTGAAGGGAGGATTTGGAGCAAGGTCTTCCTGACTCCAAGGCTAGCACTTCCTTCTGCTGCGTTACAATCCATGGCCAGAGACAGGAGCTTTTCCTTCTGTGTCTGGCCAGCTCCAGGTGGTCCCAGAGAGCCAGTGACTTTGACCATCACTACTCTGTCCACTTCTCTCTATGTGGTCACCCCTAAGCTATGTTTGATGCTCATAGTTGGGGCCGTCAAGGAGCATTTATTAAGTGACTTGCTTGTAGCAGGCACTCTGCCAAACCCTGGGAATGTGAAGAAAGGCAAAAGATAGTTCCTGCCCTCAAGGATGTCACAGTTTAATGGGAGAGACAACAACATGCAAACAGCTATATACAAATAAGATAGCAGTGTATATGCATATGTGCGTATACACACCTATGTATGTATATACCCATACATATAAGTATATGTATACACATATACATACATGGAGCATCTAGGTGGTACAGCAGATGGAGTGCCAGACCTGGAGTCAGGAAGACTCATTTTCCTGAATTCAAATCTGACCTCAGTCACTTCCTAGCTGTATGACCTTGGGCAAATCACTTAATCCTGTTTGCCTCAGTTTCTTCATCTGTAAAGTGAGCTGGAGAAGCTAAGGGCAAACCACTCTAGTATCTTTGCCAAGAAAACTCCAAATGGGGTGAGAAAGAGTAAGACTCGACTGAAATACAGCTAAACAACAATATACGTATACGTACATGTGTATGTGTTTCTATATGTGTGTGTGTATGCATCATATATCACATATATAATCATCCTATATACATATATGTATATAGGATGATTAACAGAGGGAAGGAACTAGCATAAAGGGGACCAGGAAAAGTTTCTTGCAGAAGGCGACATTTTAGCTGAGATAGGAAGGAAACTAGGGAACCCAAGAGGCAGAGGTAAGGAGGGAGAGTGTTCCAGATTTGGTGAACAGCCAGTGACAATGCCCAGCGTCAGGAGATGGAGCATCTTGTGTGAAGAAGGGCAAGGGGTTTGAAGAGTGCATGGGCTTGAAGGAGGTATAAGGCATAAGAAGACTGGGAAAGTAGAGAGAAGATATGTTATAAAGTGGTTTAAAAGTCAGAAGGTTGTGTATTTGAATGTGGAGGCGCTAGGGACCCACTGGAGTTAATTGAATAGGGAGCTGACATGGTCAGATTTATATTTTAGAAAAATTCATTTGACAGCTAGATGAAGGAAGAATTAGAATGGAATCAAGAATTAGAAGCAAGGAGAAACCTGAGGCAGGAGATCAACCGGCAGGATCTTGCAGTAGTATAGGCATGAGGTAATGAGGTCAGTGCCAGAGAAAAGGGGGAGATTTGTTACAAAGATATAAATGACAGGTTTGGGCAATGGATTGGACGTGGGGAGTGAGAGAGTAAAAAGTCAAAGATGCACCTGGGGTGACTAGGAGGATGGGGGTGCACAGCAGAGGGGAATTTTGGAATGGGGGAGAATGTGGGGGGATGAAGATACATTGATATGTTGTAAGATATCCAGGACATAGTTGGAGATTTGAGACTGGAAGTCAGGAGAGAGATTAGGGATGGACAAATCAATTTAACAATCAACTGGATAACGATGATAGTGAAATCCATGGGAGCTGATGAGGTCCCCAAGCTAAATATCATTGAAGGAGAAGAGAAGTGGGCCCAAGACAGAGCCTTGGAGGGTCCCAGGCTCTGTGGGATTTCACTACCTTTGCCAAGCATCAGGG